GTAAGTTGGGAAGACATCCTGTGCTTCCCTATCCTGATGCTGGGGTTTACCCTGTGTCTTACAGATGGGTTTGTAACCCAAAACTAACATGCCGTTATGGTAGATATTCGACCTGGATTGTGTGAGGTCTGCTAGCTGATCATGCCTGTTGGCAAACTGCTAGAAGTTTCAAGAGGTGGATCTTGCTTTAATTGTCAACATCAGTCTTTGGCTGCTACCTTTTTTGCCTATAAGCTACAGTATGTTGGATTATGTATGTAGCACACCATAAGTCCCAGTCTGAATATTTGTCTTGGACCCCCAGTTGGCTGCAATATGCATCTTGTCCTTTTTGGTCAGTTTGCTTTGATATGGGAAAGAAATATGAAAACAACATCCTTGCAAAACATCAGGATAAATAAAGCCTTGTAGTAATGCACTGTATTCCATATTTTTATTTTATTAAAGTTAATGATTAGTTGTGTGTGTGAGAGAGACAGACAGACAGACACAGACAGACAGACACAGACAGACAGACACAGACACAGAGAGAGAGAGCAAGTGAGTATATGTATATATGCGCATGATCCACTTTTCCAGGCCAACAGAGGTCACATGATAATTCAATAATAATCTGATGTAATTATACACCACCGGTATCTCTAAATTGATAGAGCTGCACCAGCCACTGTAGTGTAAGCCATTGCTGCTGTTATGTTACAGAGCAAAATTCTGATGTCATCAGATACAGAAAATGGTGTTTGTATGGCAGAAGTTGTTATTGGCTACACATATAAATCAATTTCTCAACCCAATTATTACAACTTCTGTCATTTACTATAAGGATTTCAGTGTTATAAATCAAAATCTTCATCAGTCCATTTTGTCATTTATTGTGCTTCATAAGGATGGCAAGATTTCTTAATTTTGAAGATCTAGTTATTCAACAGGATAAAGTATATTCAAGACTAATACTTGAAAAATAAAATATAAATACTTGTATGTTTGTAGGCTATGGGATGTTGAGGAAAAATCTCATTAATGTGTAAGGAACCCCAGACATGAGTAGTAGGAAGTATAAAAACCCTCCTGCTTTTTTTTTTTTTTTTTTTTTTTTTAGTAGTAGGTTCACTTCAACTTATTATGAATAAGTAATTAGTCCAGCTTTTCCATTTATACTTGGGTTTGAGAGGTAAGAGCATGTGAAAAGTCAGATAAAAATCAAAATGTCAGATTTCCCAATGGGGTTCATTCTTCATATTTCTACAATGCAAGTACTGTTAACAGATATTGTTTTTTTGATTAGCAGATGAATTTAATAGAACTAGGAAATTTAAGTGCTAATTCTGGCTAAACTGTAAAAGATGTCGGAGCATCAGTTGCCTGAGAAGTGGTGTTGTACTATTATATATATATATACTTGCATGTGTGCATAATGGTGTTTGTATGTATGTGTGTATACTGGTGTTTGTATGTATGTGTGTATAATGGTGTTTGTATGTATGTGTGCATGTTCATTTATGTCTTCATACATCTACATCTATATTAGTATACATATACATATATAGTAGTCTATAAATCTTTCAGTGCATACTAGGGCTTGGCATTTCAAATCTAATTATAGATTCTGATATTATGATATTATAAGACATCAGATGTTTCTATATCTGAAATTGATTAAGAATGGTTTTGGGGGAAAATTAACAAATTACTTAAGCACACAGAGACAGTCAAATTTTGTTCAGGTGTGTTTGACAGTTAATTTCCAAGCTGACTGGAAGGATGTTGGGCATTGTACAGTTTGTTGAGTTTGATGTTTATTTCTGTTATATTGTGTGATGTGCAAAATTCAGCCAGATGTTGTGGGCAGTATAGCCAGATCTCCTCCTCCTCAGGTAACAGCACTCTGCCTGGGGGTCTCTGTTTTATCCTGTAGTTGTTTAACTCTAGACTGTAACTTCCCCTTTATAGACTTGGGTGCTTATTTATGTATATACATTCATTCATACAGATGTGTATGTATATATATATATATATATATATATATATATATATATATATATATATATATATATATATATATATTATATATATGTATATATATATAGTAATATATATATATATATATATATATATATATATATATATATATATATATATATATATATATGTATATATATATAAGTATATATATATATATATATATATATATATATATATATATATATATATATATATATATGTGTATATATATATATAGTATATATATATATATATATATATATATATATATATATATATATATATATATATATGTATATATATATATATATGTATATATATATATGTATATATGGGTCATTCCATGTCATCTCACAGATAATGTGTCACCCACCCTTTCAGATTTCAATGATTTTCATACCAGAAGCTGGAGGTGATATGGTTATACCTAACCAAAATTTTCAGTTCAATATGTCAAGTGGTTCTAAAGATACGGGCTGTTCAAATATGACCCATTTTA